ATATATGTAGTAGTCACTGACAGAGTGCAAGCATTCATCTAAACTAATTTTGCATTTTCAGCTTCAAAATCATGAATCATTTTTTTAATTCTGGTGTTACCAATGTCCTGCACATTGGGTAACCAGCAAGTCCAAGCCTATTCATTTTCACCCCAATATAATACCAAATTTAGCATTTTAATCAACAGTACATTTTTTTTTTTTTGTTAACCTGGATTTTACTATATGGAGTATCGCAATTATATCGTATTGTGAGGTCAATATCATATCGTGACATGAGGGTATCTTTACACCCCAAGAATACTCACTTTATAACTTAAAGTAAAGCTTTATGTGCTCATTGAGGGACAGCTCTTTATTTACAACCTGCTAGGTTCAGCCCTTTCTTGCCATTTTTCCATCAAGTTCTGTACCCTTTTATACATCCTCAAATTTCAACGTAAGATTTTTTTCACAGAGCACATCTGGTACTGCATAACAGTAGGCTAATGACCACAACTCTCGTCTTTGTCTTCAGGTTTAAGGAACGGCTAAAGACAAAATATCTCAGGGATCTTAGGCAAAAGCAACAGTTATCTGGGGCATTAGATAGTCGCAAATGGCGTTTTTTGTCCCCGGGCCTGGATGATTTTAGAGATGGTTATCCGACAGTCAATAAAGAGCTCTTTACCCAGTGTAAGAGTGGACCCACCCCTGCGGTCTTTGGAATGCCAAACCACCACGGTTGTTCAACGAAGTTCCCGCAGAAGAGACTGAGTAAAACTCAAGTGTGTTACTCAAAGCAGAATCCCCAGAGTCAAGCTCAGCGGGAGTTCATTGATGCTGTCGAGCACAAACTCAAACAACACCCACTGGCCTTGTATCCACATCTGGAGAGCGGTCTGACACCAGAGGTAATACCACTTTTAAAATGTAGCATGTAAATCGGCTACACTTCGAATCATCTTAAAGTTGCTGTTAGCTATTTTTTAATGCAACGAACATTTACTCTCATATAAAACCACAACAAAGAGTTAAAGGGATACTCCACTTTTTTTGGAAATAGGCTCATTTTACAACTCCCCCAGAGTTAAACAGTTGGGTTTTACCGTTTTTGAATCCATTCAGCCGATTTTCTGATTTTTAGAAGAATATCAGTGACCGTTTCTGGTCTCATTGACTTCCATAGTATATATTTTTTCCTACTATGGAAGTCAATGAGACCAGAAACGGTCTGGTTACTGATATTCTTCTAAATATCAGAAAATCGACTGAATGGATTCAAAAACGGTAAAACTCGACTGTTTAACTCTGGGGGATTTGTAAAATTAGCCTATTTCCAAAAAAAGTGGAGTATCCCTTTAACACCGCATCAATGAGGTTTTGTTAGCAAATGGGAACACAAATAATTACATTTGTTATAGACTCCCATTCACCATGTTAACGATGATAACCACTTACGATTTAGAAAATCATGGAAATGGGGTCCACTAGAAGCTGTGGGAGTGTTTGGCAAACCTGTTTGAAAACAGTTTTGTGATTCCACTTGGTGCTGCTTGCGGCGCTGAAATATCTAACAGCAGCTTTAAATATGACGAAGCAAAAAAATAATACATTGAGGAATATTAATTGCAATGAATAATATACAATGCCTCCAACAGTTATTTGATCAGGTGTTGTCAGTCCTGGATCCTGACATGTGCGTGAAGGAGGAATTGTCCATAACATCTTCAACAAAGAAAACGGAACATCTAGAAGAAAACAGAGCACAATGTGAATTCTCAACTCCGGAGACAATAAAACCATCCATCAACATCAAGTGATTTTAATTTCCTCTTTTGTGCACGTTTCTGGTTTTGGTTCTGATCCCATTCCATTAGAATGGAACCGGTCACAATGTTAGATTAAAAACAGTATTCCTATTTTAATGTCAAATTTCTTTCCCGGTGGGAGACATTAAAGAAGTATGCTACACATATCATAATACCATACCCTTCTTAAATTTCCCAAGGCCTCAAAAGGAGAAATGTATAGACGCCAGACCAAGAAATCCCTATAAATGGCAGAGACTCAAAGGAACTCTGGGTGTCAGAGATGATCAGTTGGTGAGTGTTAAACACTTGCACTCCATTGCACAAGATGACCAGCAGATGATTACCAAGCTCTTCTGTGAATGGATTACTTCACTGGTAAGTAATATTTCATCATGTACACATTATGTAATAGATATTAAGCCTAAATGTTATTTTTCCTTTGACTGTTTTCTCAGGGTGGAGAGACCAGTGATCTGACCGAGTCAACCATCTTGGACCTGTTTAAGAGTGACTATGAGAAGAAACCCTCCATGACCTCACATATTAACAAGAACAATCCTAATCAAACTACAGCAAAACTCCAGAGCTCTGTAGAGGAACATCATAACGGCCAGCGTGTTAAGGTTGGAGACATTGTTTTTGTTCTTAATACATCATTTTTGTGATTGGATTAACAAGTCTCTTCTATGTTTGTACAACAGGCCTATAAACCCAACAGACCCCAGGGTGCAACTGATCCTCAAGCCCTTGCAAAGATCACAGGGAGTTTGGACTTTGAGGAACAGCTGAGTGAGCAGGTGACTTTTATAGCATCTACTCGGTATAAAAAGAGCAAATAATGTGACAGCTGGTGATGAGGCAAACCAGCCTGATCTCTATTTAGTTGCTGGAGTTCCATTTATATTTCCCTGTCATCTAGGATAAGGAGCTGAAGCAGATTCACGGCATTCAGGCATTCAGAGAGTTCATTATCAAAAAGGGAGTGAGAATGCCAAGGGTAATAAATCTGAATACATATTTTATGAGTTTAAATTCAAATAATGTTTCGTATACTTTGGCAAATGAATTATTTAATAATCAAGTATTTTATTCATGTCCTTGTGTAGTTTCTCAGTGCTGTATTCTCTGAGGATGAACAGAAGAACAGGATCAGAGGATCCACATCATCATCTACAGGGAGAGCTGTGCATTAAACTCTTTAAGTAATATTCCCTTATGTTGTTTTATTGAACATTACTTCACACATTCATGCATCAGCTGCTAAATGCAGTCCTCCCAACTCCATTTTTTTATAAGAATAAAGGAACATTTTACCCCCAAGCCAGATTTCTGTATAGAGTAAATTCATGATAAAAAAAAAAAAATGTAACTGGGGCGTATTGGCATGGCTCTCTCTTCCTCTTGTTTTCTTTATTCATTCATAAAACTTCCACTAAAAAACAAATACTGTGTTCTCAGCATCCCGGTGGGACTAACAAGGGCTTTCTAAGATTTTTTTGGGTAAACAGTCTGCTCTTATGCATTCCGCCATGCTAAACAGTTGCTAAGGTAAAATTGGTAAGTAATATTTTAAAGGCTTGTCAATTGTTATTAGGTGTGTTCAACCTCATGCGGCGCTGCACAGACCAAAGCAGTGCATGACGGTTAGAAACGGCTATGACCGAGAGCAGTCATCTGGCTCAGTCGGCTTAGATTCTCAAGGGTGCCTACAACACAGCTATTTCACAATAGGCAGCTAGATTCACTGATAACAACAATGACGTGCGCTTCGTGTTTATTCTGACACCTTCAGTTCCATTAATGCTGACAAATCTTGTTTTTATAACAAAATGTAATCTTAACGTTATTTTGTGTCATGTTAATTAAAATGAAAGTGATTTAAATAATACAGAATTGTCGTTCCAAACCACAATACTTTCATTCATCTTCGAACACAAATGAAGGTCTTTTTGATGAAATCTGAGAGCTTCTCAACAGCTACGCAACTGACACTTTGACGCTTCAAAAAGTTCATAAAGTGATCGTAAAACTAATCCATATGAATTAAGTGGTTTAGTCCAAGTTTTCTGAAAAGACATGATCGCTTTATATGATGAACAGATTTAATAAAGGTTTGGAATGACATTAGGGCGAGTAATTGACAGAATTGTCATTTTTGGGAGAACTATCCCTTTAAGCAGCACATAACCCTTCCATATGAAAAGTGTTTCCGTTGCTACATTTAAAATTCAAACATCTGTTGGTAACACTTTATTTGAAGGGGTGTGCATAAGACTGACAAGACACTGTCATAAATATGAAATAAAACCTGTCATGAACATGAAGGAGTCTTTATGAATGTTTATGACTGTTGTCATTAAGTGTCATTCGGTAAATTATGACACTTTTAATGCAAGGTTGACATTGTTTAAAATGTCCTTGTTATGACAACTTGACATTAACCAAGAAATCATAACCTGTCACAAATATGCCATAACAGGTCTTATTATAAAACTTAAAGAAGTTATTTAGCTTTGCATTAAAATTACATTACCCTGTCATATGTGGTTGGTTTTGACTTTGGCCGTCATGACACCATTATAACTGTGACATGAATATTTTATTTGTCCTCAAGTAAACGTTGAACTAGTTATAAAGATGTCAGGTTGACAGGTTATGATTTCTTGGTTAATGTCAAGTTGTCACAAAGACATTTCTGTCTTTGTTAATGTCAAGTTGTCATAATCAATACATTTTTTGTCTTTGTTAATGTCAAGTTGTCATAATAAAGACATTTTAAACAATGTCAACTTTGCATTAAAAGTGTCACAATTTACCAAATGACACTTAATGACAACAGTCATAAACATTCATAAAGACTCCTTCATGTTCATGACAGGTGTTATGTCATGTTTATGACAGACAGTGTCATGTCAGTCTTATGCACACCCCTTCAAATAAAGTGTAACCCATCTGTTTATCTGACAAATATTACATCTAATCCACTTTATTTGTGATAAAGCAAACACAGTGTAGGCATCACTTTGGGAAGCTGAAAGTATCTGACTAGTTGAGTTTTCAACTTCTCCCTCACTGATCAGTAAGGCTAGCCACAGGCAAAGTCAAGCACACCTCTTGAGGTTATTAAACAAAAATAGTGTCATTCTGATCATCAACCTTCAGTTGAAGATCCTTCAGTAAGGTCCATGGTCTCTTCAGATCTTTTTCCGTGATCCCGGTCCTTTGAGCTCATCTTGATTGTTGGCAGCTGATGAAAGACCAATAAACTTTGGTTTAAGCTTTATAACCAAATAATCACTCACTGTGATTTACAACATACAGTAAAATAATTCAATCATTGGTATTGTTAAATAAGTCCTGCATCGAGTAACACTTATCTGTTTAACTTTCATAAAACAGCTCTAATCATGTTTGACGTGTAGCTTACATATCTGATTAGCGTTGGAAGGGGGCCAATAGTTTCTCTCAGCGGGAAGATCAGAAGTGAGGAGAAGGTGCACAGGAGACCTGCATCCTGCCGCACGAGTGGAGCGAAAACTTGTATGAAATGAAAACTTTGTAATATACTTTTATTAAAAATTCTCATTAGCATTTTAAGAAAACACCATTTTACCTGGTCAAAATCAGCTCTGTTTTCAGCAAGCCGTTTGAGTGCATATGTCTTTAAATAATTAACCCCGCCTCTCTGCTCTGCGGGCGTGAACGCACGTGGAGTGTTGTCTTGACAACAGTTGAAGGTTTTGGAGAGAGAATGGCAGCGGGAGTCTCTGAGGAGTACACATCTGTGCAACCGTATCAGTTTGAACTGGAGTAACTGTTCACCGGAACAAGATGACGGCCGCAAAGAAGTTCGATAGTTTAGGCTTGAGGACGTTTCTGAATGGTTGGTTAACGTAATGTTACTTTGATCTATCTTTGTATGCACTGGCAGGCTAGAGTAGTGAGATACGAACGCCGTGTTAACTGATGTATACGTTAGTTCATTGACAGATTGACGTTACAACTAAAGGTCATGAAAAACTTTTCCCCGCGATTTGAAAAGCTCAGTAAACAAAACTCAGCCACTGTGTCTTCAGCGGTTTAAATTTAGGAACATCAGAATGATTTCTGTGTTTATTGCACCCAAGAACAGAACAACAAAAATCGCTTAGACGCCATTCTGACTATAGTTTATGATGACAGCTCGCTCAGGGTGGGTCTGTGTTGAAATACTGCTGTCAATCAACAACCGCGGGAGGGGCGTGCGACTGTGTGACGTCACACGGTCGAATGGGTCGATCAAGTGGCAACATTCTAATCTGAAAGATGAAGCCTACCCGGAAGTGCGATAAACTGCAATACATCTCAAATCCGCTAGAGGGCGGTCCCAAAAGGGATCAAATATCCATAGACGTCATGTTATAATGTCCGTTTTCACAGCATAAATTCATATGTTTACAGGTCGGTCCCATGGACTTTTATTGTAATCTTCAATATGTTTCGCGTGCCTAACAACTGTGAGGGGGGTGATTTTTTTTCTAACTCGTTAGTTTAGATCGTATTTAGACATAAAATGTATGACAAATAAGGGCTAACTTTGATTGACAGCTGATAACGCGCTGTGCTGAGTGGAATTTGACGTCTCGGCCATGATCTGACACAACACATCACACCACCTGTGTATCCTTTCTGAAACTTTTGTATTTTGTATTTTCCAAGATTTTCCAGTATGGCGCCGCCCATACCCCCCATAAACAATCTCAAACCCGTTCTTCAGAGAGTCTATGGGTGACATCACAGACGCTTTGTCCATATTTTTTACAGTCTATGAGTTCGATTTGAGCCGGAAAACAAATAAGGAGATTAAAAAAAACCACTGGATGGATTTTTATCATTAAATCATGGTTGTGTACAGGCACTGACAACACACACTGCAGTACAATATACTTGTAAAAGTGCATGTACCATTATATGACCCCTCTAAACGTTGCGAAACATCTTAACTGAGGAAAAAGCACTTTATTGGGCATCAAGCATCTGTGGATGTGTGTTAGAAGGCATGCAACTACTTGTTGCTAACATGTGTGTGTGTACTTTTCTCATACCTGTTACTGGTTATTCTCCCAAATGGCCCTGTGGTACATCCAGCATCTTTAGTTTCTGTTAGTCTGCAATAAAAATGATAAATAAGATTTGAGTGATTCACAAAACTCTACTTGTATGCAATTTCCTAAACTCCTCCATTCCCTGATGCTGTGGTCTTCCCTTAGGCGTTTTCCAATATAATGGTCTTTTATGAATGAGACTAACGGTCTAGATGTGTGGTCTTCTTCGGGTTTCCTCCTGAAGCTCGTACTAGTGTGTGGTCCTTGCTCTTCAACAATCCCGCCACGCAGCTCTCTTACAGCTCTGTTCAGCTCCACAATGGGGTCACACACTCTCACCTGGAAAGATTCCAAATGGAAATCTGTTCCAGCACATCTGTCAGTTCAGATATTCGAGTGTGTGTGTAGTTAGCAAGACTTTTTCATACTTCCATTAGGCCATTAACGTTCTGCTGAGCGAGGGGAAGATGGGTACGACTGCTGACTGGAGATCTGGAGACGTTACGCCAGTTCTGGCTTTGCAATTCCTGACCAAAAACATACGCATGGAAAAAAGAATAGTAACGTTTGACCAGAAAATGAAATCAAATAATTACTACTACAGTAAATTTGTCTATGTTTTACCTTTAAATCTAAAGTATGATGCAGTTTCAGCCTCATAAGCTCCTGTTCCTGCTTCTAAATAAAGTCTTGACATTCAGCCAAACTGTCAGACATCTGTAGAATATACATTGTGTTTCAGTTGTTTGCAATGTCAGTCATCTGCTCTGTTATCTGACGGAATAGTGTTGTATTTATGATAAGGACTGTCAGACACCTTGAATAAAGCTGCATCCTGTTTCTCTGCTTTGCCTTTGAGGTCTCGCTCTTGTGAGCACAGCGTCTCCACTTCTGACTCCAGTCTTCTCCTGCTCTCCCTCTCTGACACTAGCTCTTGTGTCTGTCTCTTAACCAGCAATGCCTGACAATGCTTCTCCTGTGACACACAAACAAACACTTATATGTACATGTGCACAAAAGGAAAACACACATAAACAGAAAAAAGTTGCTCTTTGGACTATGCATTTAATATTAATTAATAAAAATTAATATTAAAAGTTAATATTTGTTCCTGCATTAAAGAAAAGTGCTGCAATAGTCATCTACTAAACCTCAAAAGTTTTTTTTTGCAAGGTTTATGGCTGGAAAACATATCAGTCTGTAGTTATACAATTTTAACTTATTTCACAATACTGTGCAATCTGCGATTCTAAGTAGCGTAATTAGTAGTAACTAACTCGCAATGAGGAGTGAAATTAAATGCAACAATGAACATTCTACTATTTCCAATTTAGTTTCAGCCATATAATCCAAAAATTCAACAAACAATTGAAGTCATAATTTTACAAACACCGTGGAGAATCTGCAAGTGTTAATAGTAAAAAAGAAAATAAAAATGTTAAATCCCATTCGAAAAGCGTATATCCCCAGCTCTTAATGCATCATGTTTGTCTGTCTGCACCATTGAATGTTTGCAGCTTTTGCTAATATTTGTGTATGAGTCCCTCAATTGTCCTCACATTGTTATATATATATATATATATATATATATATATATATATATATATATAAAACAAATTCCATGGACTGCGTTAGATTAAACTGAGAGGGGTCATAGCACTTGCATATTGTTGTTTAACTGCTTCTGTTGTTCTCATTTGTAAGTCGCTTTGGATAAAAGCGTCTTCTAAATGAATAGATGTAAATGTAAAATGTAAGATGGATTTCAAAATCATAGTCACAGCTGGAAATGGTTCGAAGATACAGAAGATGTTGGAAAACCAAAGAATGTGCAGGACCTTGAGGATTTGTTTTGTTTAAAAACAGTTTAACTGTGAATAAATAAGGAACAACTATCACAAACAGTCGTGAATCATCCAGGTATTAAGAATTAAACTTATGAACTGGTTCATTTGTGTCAATTCAGTGTCTTAGGGACTATACAGTATGTAAACATCTGATATTTAAATAAATTGATCCCTCTTATTATTATGTTTACTTAATTATCAACTAGGGCTCAAACGATTAATTGTGATTAATCGCATCCAAAATAAAAGTTTGTTTTTACATAATATATGTGGGTGCACTGTGTATACAGTAATTATTTTATATAAATACATACACATGCTTGTATAAATTTAAGAAATATTTTCATGTATATACTGTATATAGATTTATATATAATTTATATTATATATAAATATTTTCTACATACATGATTTTTTTTCTTAAATATACATGCATGTGTGTCTATTTATATATACAAAATAATTTTACACAGTGCACCCACATATATTATGTAAACACAAACTTTTATTTTGGATGCGATTAATCGCGATTAACCGTTTGACAGCCCTATTATTAACATTTTGCTAATTCTGCAAAGTATATGTAAGCTTATGACTACTCTCTGAGAAGACTTCATTTAATTTCAAACAAGCAGAGCAAGTAACACCAACATCCAGGCCATATTTCACACTGTCTTTCTGATAATCCTCTCCTATAAATATTTCATTTGCATTTTAGTGGTGGGAAAGGGGCTTTGTGAAAACAGAAAAGTGCTCGACAGTAAATAAAAATGATTTCCCCTGGTCTAAAGCTAAATGAAAGTGTTTCACTTTCACTTTTGAAACAAGATCAAAAATAAAGTATCATTTTTACAATGCAGACACCATGAGGTTGAAAGCCCCACTTAATTTACAGTGTTTTGACACATCTGAAGCCATACCTTCCCTCCAATTGTTGGAAAATACATAAATATATACTTTGTTTTGGTCTGAAAATGATCATATCATGAATAATGACAACAGTATATTCTCTATATACTTATTTAGATCATAGGTCTTAAACCCTGCTCCTGAAAGCCAACTGTCCTGCAAAGTTTCTCACCAACCCTAATAAAACAAACCTGAATCAGCTAAAGCTCTTCAGGATTGCTTGAACATCACAAGCTGAAGCAGGTTGGTTATAAACTTCAGGAGCAGAACTGAAAACATCTGACTTAGATGTACAGTGCTGTGAAAAATGTTTTGTCCCCTTCCGGATTTTTTATATTTATGCATATTTATCACACTTAAATGATTCATCAAACAAATTTTAATATTACACAAACATAACCCAAGTGAATACAAAATGCAGTTTTTAAATCATGATTTCATTTATTAAAGGAAAAAAGCTTCCAAAACCTGCCTAGCCTTATGTGAAAAAGTAATTCCCCCCTAAACCTAATAGCTGGTTGTGCCAATCAAGCGGTTGCGATAACTGGCAATGAGTCGCTGTGGAGGAATTTTGGCCCAGTATTCTTTGCAGAATTGTTTTAATTCAGCCACATTGTAGGGTTTTCGAGTATGAACGGCCTGTTTGAGGTCATGCCACAATATCTCAATTGGAATTAAGTCCGGACTTTGACTAGGACACCCAAAACCTTCATTTTGTAGCCATTCAGAGGTGGACCTGCTTGTGTGTTTCGGATCATTGTCCTGCTGCATAACCCAAGTGCGCTTGAGATCACAAACTGATGGCTGGACATTCTCCTTCAGGATTTTCCGGTACAGTGCAGAATTCATGGTTCCATCAATAATGGCAAGTCGCCCAAGTCCCGAAGCAGCAAAGCAGCCCCATACCATCACACTACCACCACCATGTTTGACTGTTGGTATGGAGTTCTTTTTATGAAATGCTCTGTTAGTTTTACGCCAGATGTAACGGGACACACACGTTCCAAAAAGTTCAACTCTTGTCTCATCAGTCCACAGAATATTAGTGTAAGAATAATTACTTTTTTACATAGAGCCAAGCAGGTTTGGACAGCTTTTTTCCCTTAATAAATGAATCCTCATTTCAAAACTGCATTTTGTATTTACTTGGGTTATATTTGTATAATATTATTAGTTTGATGATCTGAATTATTTAAATGTGAAAAATATGCAAAAAAAAAAAAAAAATGAAAAAATCAGGAAGGGGGGCAAACAATTACTCACACCACTGTACTTAGTACCAACAGTTTGGGCCTGGACACCTTCTATTTTAACATTACATATACACACTAATAAGTAACAGAGAGTTGCTGTGAGAAACAAAGTTCTCGTTAGTGATGCATTTCACCATCTTGAGCTTCTCAATGGTCTCTTCCAGCATCTGAACTCGGCTTCGCAGAAAATCAATCTGCTCTCTTTTAGCAGTGATCTGCGTCTGCATCCCAAGAGCAACCCTGAGACCTGAAATACATATAAAACACATTCCAATCAGTTCAACCACACTAAATACCAAATAATTTACTGTCCTGTCTGAAAGAGTAATACGTACAATGCATTATTGAGGTATCGTCCTATTTGTGAATAGTTCCTCAGGTTATGTCAGCTGCATCACGTTCACAAGAGAATAACTTGGACTATATTGTTAATGTATTGTCTGCATTTCAAAAGACACTTTGTCCAGTGAACCAATGAACAGAAACTTACGTCATATGAGACCATTTTCTCATTCTGTCTCTCTCACAATTGAATGGGACAAAACAATGGAGGGTTACTGAGGTCAGAGCTAAGAAATCATAGCTTCATTATGTAACAGTCCCCACAACCAGTGCACTGCACACAGCGAGAACAAAAATGTTCTTTAACAATGTCTTGATACATAGACTTAAAACAGCTGAAAACACTGTAGAAATGTTAAAACTTTGTGCAGATTAAGTACATAGTGGAATAACAGCAGGAGTGCATGGAGCAGATCTATAATCTCAGTATGCCGTCTTCCTGCCATTATCCAAAACGCAAAACAACAAAACCATGGCCACACACTGGCTCTCTGTAAAGAATGTAAATGAATCCAGTAATGCAGGGTGTGGTCTTCCGCCTTTTATTTAATATACACTTGACCTTGGCCTGGTTTTTCCTGAGGTAACACTGTGAAAACATCCTCACTTTAAATATCAGCGGTGCTATGAATTGGTACGGAAGCCTATATTTGTATTTGAGTGTATTAGGATTTTTTCCTCAAAGCTTTGATCTCTGAATAACTCAGGGCCCAGTCCTGTGAGGTTACTGAGGGCAAATTGCGGATCATTGTTCATTTTAAATGTCTTACTACCTGTAGCCTTAAAAATAGTTTAATAAAACAAACAAACAAACAAAAAAGTATTTTGTGCGTGTGTGTGTGTGTACCATGACCATCAACTCCCTCCAGGGTTCTCAACCAACTGTTGGCCTGGGTCAGTTCTGCCCGCACGGTCTTCAGCTGAGTCCTCAGGTTAAGGCTCTGTTGTTCCAGCTCACGGGTCTTTCTGCCAAATAGCTCTTTCAAAGCTTCCTGTCCCTCTGATTAATAGGGAACAATGTCAAAAATATCAAGGTGATACAACTGTGATATCAGAATGAAGACAAATTAAATCTCATTAAAAGAAAGAAATGCTTCAAAAAAAACATGGACATAATTTTTTATTAATATTTCAAAGAAAATATTCACTACCATTCATAAGTTTCTTTCTTTTTTCTTAGACTAATCTGTCTGTCTGTAAAAAAAAACAAATTTAAACGATTATCCATCAATAGAGAACATCCTTAATGTTTTGAAAAGGTCACGCGGCTATATTTAGTTCACTATTAAACAAAATAAAACAGTAATTCTGTGAAATATTACAATTTTAATTTAATATTTTAAAATGTAATTTATCCCTTTGATGCCAAAGCTGAATCTTTACTTTTCAGCATCTTTACTCCAGCCTTCAATGCTACAGAAATCATTCTAATATGCTGAATTGATGCTTAAGAAATATTTCTTATTGTTATTATCAATGTTTAAAACAGTTGTGATGCCAAATATTTTGTGGAAAAAGAGTTATATATTTTTTTGATGAAAAGAAAGTTCCAAAGAACAGCATTATCCTTGCTAAATAAAAGTATTACCCTTATTATTTTTAAATCATACTTACCCAAACTTTTAAACAGTAGTATATATAAAAAAAAAATCAGTTTTACTGAACAATAATATCTGAAAAACTGCTGATTGGCAAATTATGTACTCCAAACAGAGAGAAACAAGCTGTTTTAAAAAAGACAAGGTTCATGTTTTAAAATGTACTCCCAAAAAACCCTTATGAATATTTTAATATTTTATGAAACATTTTAATATAAAAAGTGTATTCATGTATTCAAGGTGTAACTATGTACATAATTTAGATTTGATTGTTACAAAACATAACAAATATAGAGTTATTAAATTTAGACTTTTCTTAAAATCATTTTACTTTTCTTTTTCGTGAGTAACATGAATCCTACTATATGTCATTGACCCAGATGTGACTTTTTTGATTTTTTTGCTTAGATCTGCCAAAACAAAACATGCAATAAAAAATACATTTCAATAAAAGCAAGGGACAATGTACATTGAACAGTGTTTATCATCAGTCTGCAGTTTGTGATAGCATTCAGATGAATCGGTGTCTGTACCTCTCAGCTGGTTAAGCTGCATACGCCGCACTTCCAGCTCAGCGGTCCTCTGCTGTTTCTCCAAAGTAAGCTGATCAACACTGCAGGTCTTTTCTGAGAGCGCAGCCTGCTGACAGGCCTTCTCTCCTGCCATTGTGCTGAGTCTCAGCTCTGCCTGTCTCAATGCAGCCTGTTAAACCCAAGAAGTGCAATATAAAATAATCTGTCAAACATTTCTTCCTGTTCTAGGCATTCATGATCAATAATGCCCACGAATGGGATAATTTAATCAATAACCTGTTTATTCTCTAAACACAACCTAATAGTGAAGGCATCCTAAATTGTGTATTAGCTGAATTCAACTACTAAAAACATTCTTCCCCAAATTTCCCCACCTTCAGTTGTTGGTTCTCTCCTCTGAGCTGCTGGATCTGGTTAGTTAAATATCGTTGCATGTCCACAGAGATAAACTGCATGGCGTTTTCCAGTTCTGCACTCATCATCCGGTCATCTGCCTCTGTCCTCATGACCTTCAGCAGACCCTGAACCTCTTCCAGCGGGACATGGACCTGCTGCGGATACAACTGCTTCAACACCGGCAGATGCCTTCTTTCCAACTAAATCACATATAACAACACTGAGACATGGAAAAGCCTCAAAACTGTCTGCATTCTCTGAAGAACATATGGTTCTCAACCGGTGGGTCGCTGCAGGCCTGTTTTGAAAGGCTTTCAGACATCAGGAAAAAGACTATTTAAGTTTTAAAAAGGGAGGGGAAACACTTCCCACATCTTTTGTCAAAGGCTGTGTGTCCTATCAGACTCTTATTTCGTATTTCTGTGCAAATTCATGTTTATGTTAAATTCGCGGTAACATTAACAAATATGAGCTTTTTGTCAACTTTGGTACTGTGTTTGGTTGGCACAGTGCTGTAAACAAAATGAGTTTAGATGATGTGGCCTTGTGTCAGCAGGCTTTTGTCAAGGATGTTGGTTAAAAATGTAGACAAAGACGATGTAGAGTAAATGGAAGTGTGAGCCCTCTTTGGATCATTTTGAACTCAATGCATGTGGTACATCCTGAAATATAAGAGGCAATTGCAGTTATTCCTGTTGAAGTCTGAGGCTGGTACAGGCTGTGCCGACCTGCAGTCGATCTGCCTTTTTCTTGGCTTGTTGCTAGACCTGCTTTCTAATCAATTCTGTCTCACTGTGCAGACTTGGCAGCTCGACCAGACTCATGCTGTTCTGTCTCTGCCAACTACTCAGATGTGTAATAAACAATTTTAAATTGCAATTCTTTGAAATTAGGAAAGAGGGAGAAAAGAATGCTTTTGTATTCAGAAATAGGATTTTTTGAATGTTTCTGAAAGATTTCTCTTGCTCCCTAAAGGCTGCATTCATTTGATCACTGTAAAAAATAATCGAAATTTTAACGGTAAAAGCCTGTAAAAACGCTACAGTGCAAAACTGTTGATTGGTTAACAGAAAGTTTCCGTACTATATACGGTAAATAGTGATATAATTTTACTGTAAAATACCGTTAAAATTAACAGTTTTTGAAAGTGAAATAGAACAACTTTCCCTGCAAAATTCCCTGCGTCACACTTCACATTTGATGTATTTTTGTTGAAATAACTATGTTGATAATTTTAATAATTTTAAAACATAATTTTCTTGTTTTTTTTTATAATTAGTTATGTACATTAGGGTTTTTATGTTACATTTACTATTTTTCAATGAATGTTTATTGCATTTTTTTATTTCACGTGTGTTACCTTGATGGTGTTTAATGTTTGTGTGAATGACACTGTGCAGCTTCTTTATACAAGAAGCTCAACTTCTGATGAGCTTTGATTGCTCATGTAACTCTCATCACTACAGAGATTATTGATGGTTCTCAGTGTATTACAATAGTACAAAACAGAAATCAATTTTTCAAAAAGTTGGTATACGGATTTCAGAAAATGAAATATGGTTTACTACTGTAAAGGTGATTGCAGTTTTAATGTAATTTTTACAGAATTGTTCTGGCAACCGAAGTTGCCAGCATTATTCCGTAAAAAAATACGAGATTACAGTGTACAGTAATATTCAGAAATGTATAAAAACTTTTTATTTTAATATTTACAATTGTCATTTATTCCTGTGAGAATTTTCAGCATCATTACTGCAATCTTCAGTGTCACATGATCCTTCAGAAATTGTTCTAATATGCCGATTTGCTGCTCAAGAAACATTTCTTATTATTACCAATGTTGTAAACAATTCATATTTTTATGGAAACTGTGGTACTTTTTTAAAGGATTTTTTTTTTTTTCATAAATAGAAAGTTCCAAGAACAGAATTTATTTGAAATTGAAACCTTTTACAATATTATAATGGTCTTTACTGACACTTTTGATCAATTAAATACATACTTGCTGATAGTTTAAAAAAATCCTTACTTTACCCGAAACATTTAAACAGTAATGTTAACTTTTCAACAGGCGATTTCTACAAAGGCATTTTTCATTGAAAACTTTTGCTTTGGTGTGACTTAACACCTCTGATCAAGACCACTGAATTACACTTTTAGCTGTTGATGAGACATTTCTTAAAGCTGAAAGTGCGTCATTTTTGGCCCTATAGTTTTGCAAAAATAAACACTGACTGTATTTGTGATTAAAGTAGCATGTCTCATAAGAGAGTGGGCAAAAAGTACCTGGATGATCTACTACTTCTAAAGTGTGCTTACGATGGACACTTTACCATCCCATGAGGCCACGAGAGAGGATTGGTTAACGGCAGTGACATGACACAACTGGTAGGTCACGTGATAAGGGCAACATAGGGAATGTAGCAGAATGTAGTACATCCAGATTATAATAATACTACACACATTCATACTACATAGAACATACATTTTTAGCTGTAACTTATTCAAAATAAGTACCTATTTAAGACAGTATGAGATTTAGTAAGCAGCTAATGTTTCCAAACAAGTTTCCTGAACACTCCCCAGCTGCCATTGGTCAGGCAAACAGATAGCACCCTCCAAATCTCGCGCCATTGGTTAAAAAATGCTGTGGCATTTGGGCTAGTCTGGATGCACAAACAGGTCAATGATTTGATGGTGCCACAAATACACACAGCATTTACAAACTTCAGGTCAGTATGTATCTGACAGGTGTTTTTAAAAAGCTTAAAAAACAAACATCTTGAGCTGTCTACACTACTGTTTATTACTAAAACTTGGCCAAGTTGTGTTGTGTATGTAATTGGGCTGAGAGGTCTCTTCCTCTCACGGCCTGGGACTGGAATTGAGCCAACAGCTCCTCCACTGAACTGACCAGAAGCCAACTCTACTTTGTTTCAACAAACCCTTCTTCTGACTCACTGTAGACTACAGCCAAATCCAAATCCAGCATATGAAGGCTATCAACTATACCAGATGTATCCATCAGACAGTGCTAATGTGAAAACATCCCACATTCCAGTGTTCTGCAGTTTTGGTGTAAACACAAAAAGGGCTTGGAACACCCGTCTCATTACCTTAGTTTCATAAATCCGTTGTTTCTCTGACTCCAGCTCAGTTTTCTTGCTCTGGAGTAAACAGGCTTGACTTGCAGCTTATTTTGACTTTTCTAGCACAGAAAAAAACCATTTTAATCAAAAACTGACAGAAGGAAAAGCAGCAGGAAGGATGTGTATGATGAGATTGAGAACTTGCTGTAATAAATAACTCCCCCAGAAGCTGCACTCTGTCCGCAGCACCAACGTTTCTCAGTCAATATCGCCACCCTCTGGTCAGGACTGGCAATGCGTTGCTCTTGTCTGTAACAGAATAGTCTCAGCCTCAGACGTCACGCCCACGGAACGTTGGCTAAACGTCTGATGCATATGGTACACTTAACTGGAAACACTTCAGGAATGTCGAAGTCGTCATCTGATTGGTTGAATTTTATCGGATTTCCGGGGGGCGTCAGTGTCGCGTTTATTTTCGGTCCGCCGGGAAACAAAGCGCAGATGTGTGATTGCGGAAGAAAAACTGTTGTGTTGTGAGTGGCCTATGTGAGTGACAATGAGCATTTCTCAAGATCAGCTAAACGTAGTTGTATGTCCCCTCCAATCTATTATGGAAGATCAAGTGAAGTACTTAATTGTGAAGGGTATCAGCTGCGTTTGTGGACAAACATGAAACAGACGCTGACATCGCAGCGGGCCGATTCAGTATTCATATATAGGTCGCGCACACTGGATTATAAGGCACATAAGATACTGCAGAGTCAAACGTTTGACTGGGTTTGCGTTATGCATCCACTAGATGTGCTAAAGGCTAAAGGGAATGTAGCGAGTGCGCGGCGCCGGAGGTGAGGCGTTTATTTAGTAGGCGTGAGCGCACTGGGGCGGGGACGTAACTTACATTCGTGTGACAAAGCGGACATAAGATGGACATGAGCGAGTTCGTGGGTGAATTTAATAACACGGAGCGTTGTTAGCCCCTCCGGTGACTGCTGACTGACTTGTTGCACACCGATCTGTTGTTGTGGGGACATTTCCACGCCCCGAAACATGACGCTGAACGAAACGAACTGTAATTGGTTGTTTGACATGTCGGTCTAACGGCCTTATGGGCGGGCCTTGACCAAAGAAAGCTGCTATGAATTCCAGACCTTCAGCCGTCAGTCTGAAGGTCTGGCTACGCGAGACTAGTAACAGAATAACATTACCATGCAGAGCCCGTCTAACGGAGAGCCTTGGCACTTCCTATTAGCCCCGTTGTGTATCATCGTGGTTGCAGTTCCATTAGAATTCCACTGGAGGTGATCGCGGGCGAGAGCAGAATGAATGGGAGTCTATGGGGCTAAACGGCCCCAACTTTATTCAACTTTTTTCAGAAGTTCAGGAAAACTTGATTTAAAGTGTGGAGAATTATGAGCATGGTTTGCTAAATTGGGAATGTTTTTTGGAGTTGCAATATTGAAAGGGGGTTATTATTCTGTTGTGTACTGCAATGACATTTTGACTAAAAAGACATATTTAATTGCAACTGGTCTCTGTCTGAAAGGAGTCATTTAAAAATTCAAGCACAAACCTAATAAACTAGCATATAATCTTGCTCTACATAAAGCAATATTGATTTTATATTGTTTCTTGATTTATATTGTTTTCTTATACAGTTTTCAGCTTTAATTTGTATAATTTCCATTCAAATTGTGATAGTAACATATCATTAATATTGTTCAGTTGAATATCAGCAAATTATTTAATTCATAATAATTTTCAATTACAGTTACATTACATTTACTATAGACATTGTCTAAAATAACATTTAGTGTTAATTTAATGAAGTTTAGTGATTCAATGTACTTCAAAACATTAATAAGATTGTTCTTTATAAATATATTGTTCAATTACATGCTTTTGTAAATTTGTTGTTCAAATAAATAATGTTCAGTGAAATCAGTGAAGGTCGCCTACTTTAACCCTTACATTATTTATGAATATTGATGTTGAGAGACTATGATCAGTAAAATGGTTCAAGGTACTTTTCAGAACTAAATTAAACCTTAAACTAAGTTGTGCTGTTTTGATATTCATAAACATGGAAAAAATGGTTTAAATGTGTATACTTGGCAAATCTGGGAAGAAACCACACTGAGTTTGTGTGTAACAGTTTACACACTGAAAACCACATGTGTATTTCTTTAAAGTGGAGCCTAATTAATTTCATTGAAAAAAAAAACATTACATAATATAAACATAAATAATTTATGAACATTATTATGTGTAAGTTTTGTAAAAATGACAATTCATGTGTTATCTCATACAGTCATGGTCAAAATTAATGGCACCCCTGGTAAATATGATGAAAACTGGCTGTAAAAAATAATTCTGCATTGTTTATCCTTTTGATCTTCCATTCAAAAAATTGGCAAAATTCTAATCTTTCATTGAAGCAAAAGAATTGAAAAATCACACTATGAAATAAATGTTTTTCTCCAAAACACTCTGGCCATAATTGTTGGCACCCCTAGAATTTTTTATGAGAAAAATATCTCTGAAGTACATTCCCATTAATATTTATTTTTTTAAGCACATCAGGGTGACTAGGAACATGAAATTGTCCAGCTATGACTTCTTGTTTCAAGGAGTTTAAATATGAGGAAGCACAAAGGTCAAATTCCCTGAATCATCCATCACAATGAATAAAACCAAAGAACATGGTTCTGATGTGCATCAAAAGATTGTTGAGCTTCACAAAATAGAAAGTGGATGTAAGAAAATAGCTAAAGAATTGAAAATTCCCATTTTGACCATCAGGGCAATAATTAAGAAGTTATAATCAACTAAAGTGTTATGATTCTGCCAGGAAGAGGACGTGTGTCTATTTTTCCTTAATGGACGGTGAGGATGAAAGTTTGAATGTCCAAAGACTCTTCAAGGATCACAGATGGAGAATTGCAGAGATTACTTGAGTCTTGGGGTCAGAAAACTTTAAAAAAAAAAATATATATATATATATATATATATATATATATATATATATCAAACAACCCCTACATCCCCACATGTTGTTTGAGAGGGTTTCAAGAAAAATGCTCCTCGCTCCTCCAAAAACAAACTCCAGCATATTCAGGTGTCAGACACGACTGGATCTTCAAAAAGGACCGGATTCTATGGTCAGATGAAACTAAAAAAGGGGCTTTTTGGCAGCAAACCCAGCAGATGTGTTTGATGCAAACAGGGATGAAGAGTATCCCATGCCTACACTGTAAAAAATTTCTTGTCAAATTAACAGTAACTTACTGGCAACAATTATCCAGTACTTGCTGTATTTCATTTAACAGTAAAATTACCGTAACACTAACTACAGTACTGTTAAGCATACTGCAAATTAAATAACATTATTTTACTGTAATTTCTTACCATATTAAAGTACAGAATTACACTGTTAATTTTTAATAATACTGTATAGTATGAAATGTTATTGTATTTATTTTATAGTGCTACTGTGTAACCTGTAGAAAATCCGTAGAAATATTATTTTAACTGTTAATGGGAAATAGAAAAAAGAACAATTGAAGCTTTAACTGCACAAGGTTTATTGTGTATTTTTAAACACATTAGTACATTTACATAATATACATTTAAATACATTAATACAATTAAATACATTAATAATAAAAATGTAATATAATACAATAAAAATCATGCATGACAATCATGAACAATTATGCATAAATACATGCAAAAATTATCATGAAGAGGTAAAATAGAAAAGATTAAAGGGGTGCTATCTGATCAATCTATTAGAAAGATAGTTCATAACAACTCATCCACCCACTCCCTGCTGGGGTAAAACAGCTTAAACTAGTCTAAGATTGTCTATTGGTTTGAGATAGACTGTCTAACAGGTCAGTTGCTGATTTTAAAGGGTTTTTGGCTGCTTTCTATCTAAGGGACCAGATTTGCAGGGCTGGGAGACACATATAAACTTATAAACTATAAAAGCTTTGACGAGTAAACACCAATCCAGATGAGTATAACAAAATGACAAGTTATCCAGTGTCCTTTAAAAAAAAAAAAAAATAAACACAAAACAACCTCATCATGCACATGTGCCATGAAAAACTTGCATTACGGTATCAATAATTATTTATATGCAGACTTATGTTCTAACTTTTGCAATAGGAAGTTTTCTATCCAAGCTTTTATGCAATTAAACCTTAAACTGTACAGTAACGTTTATTTTCACACAACAATTCTAAACAACTTGCAGATAGACAAAATTCACAGATGGATAATAATCTGTTTAAAATGTTCTCAGTGGGTCAGTACTGGACCAAGGTATAGTAGTAGTAGTTAGATAAATAGAATAATTAAATTAGATTAGATTTACAATTCATCGGTCGTCAAGATGGATAGGGGTCTTCTTAACATGCACAGCTCACACCTGTGGAAAAGGAGAACAGACAAGACAGTTAAAATATAGTACGTTTTTGTTGTTGTTTTGGCTAAACAGCAAAAACAGACAAAATGATGTCTAAAGTGTAATTCACTTAATACTAAAATCTTGTTTGTTGGACTGTTGTTTAAAATCAATTCATTTACGATCACGTGAAAACGTAGGCTAAATCTTGCTTGTGTGATACTAAGTTACATGACTTAAAAAAAGATTGACAAGGCATCGTTCCCTTCAAATGAGTACATGTCAGTTTACACATAGTAAAAAAAAAAAAAAATGATATTATAGCCGACAATACTGTAGTATATGCAGTGAATGGTTCCTACCGGAACACCCCCAGGCAGTTTGTGTAGTTGGTATGACCCGGGTTTTTTTTTTGTTGTTGTTGATTCTAAGTTCGCTAGTAAAGTGTTCAACACCAGGCTAACTCCCTCGTGTATGTGTCGTTAATGATAACCAAAGATTAACAAAGACCACAACAAATACTGTAAATGTCACACATAGCTTTGTATTTTGGACAAAAATACACCTTGGGCGCTTTCCGCGGTCCAACTTTATCACTGAGGTAACGTTATAATGGCAGAACGCCAGGTCAGGATTTACACGAAAATAAGCGTGAAAAAATCAATAAGAGGAATCGGCACTTTAATTTTATAACAATAAATCCGAATCCTAACCTTGGATGTCCGATTTCAGGATACATTTATCGATTAGCAATTCCTAACCCCTGTAAGTCATAAAATAATGAACGTGCAGGCGCTTTCACCGACTTAACGTGGTAAATAACAAAA